TTCACTAATTAAAAGAATATGTCTGTTGTAAAACATGAAAACAATGACAGATATTATGAACTAGGGGCAACAGGTCCTGGTGACTGATTGTGTGCAGACAAGAGCAGAACTGGTGCTTGGAGGAGGAACAGATCCAGGGAAGGGGAAGAATTCAGACCAGGATGTGTAGCCCTGACACCCAGGAAGACATGTAAATAGTGGATGTGGAGCTGGCGTGGAACACTGGCTGGAGACTTGGGAGGCAGGGGTAGTCTGTTTTGTGTGGAGATGGATGTTGTGGGCCATAGTCCAGGGAGTGCGAGCGTGCGCATCTACGGAAGGAGACACAAGGACTAAAGGTGGAAGTGGAATACTCCCTGACAGGTGAGGGATGGGCAGAGACAGAGGAGCCAGAACATGGCAGGGGCTAAAATAGACACTGCTACACAGATGCCATGGTTCCCCAGAGCAGCCAAGCTCCCTGCGATCAGGGACCACTTTACAGAGACAGGGCATTTGAATTGGGGTTTAAAGGATGAGTAGGAGGTGACCAGGTGAAGAATAGCACTTAGTGTGATTATAGCATTTATTGTCCTGTGTGGACATTGTCTGTGGTGGGTGTCTGTCCCCTCATTAGATGAAGGGAAGGAACTGGGTCATGTTCTTATTGATTCCTCAAGGCTGGCAAAGAAAGTGTATTTGTGTAGTGAATGGTAAATACCTGCACGCTGGAATGATCAGTGCTCCCGTAGAGGAAAACTGGGCAAAGGCTGGGCATTTGAAAGCTCTCAAGTCCTCTAGGTTTCTCTCTCTCAGGCTGGGAGGCTAAGGTAGCCCCCTGCCCACTGGATCCATGATGTTGGCAACTGCTGCCACCTGCTGGTCAAGGCCGGTGTTGCCACACCGCTGTCATCACAGCTCAGTACCCGTGTGCCCGGTTGGGATGCAGACAGTCTTCACCAGCCTTTCAGAAGCCCTCTGGCTTGTGGAATAAACATCTCGACAATGACAAGACAATGATGGGAATTACAGGGCTGTAGGGGTCCGGAGGAGGAAGAGGAGGCAGCTTGTGTAGGATTCAGCAACAGAACTGTCACTGGGGCAGAATTGTGGGGGGTGCGTGAGGAAGGCACTGGAGTAGGGTGTAGGAAAGCAGCCCTGCAGAAGCTGAACCCATATAAGGAGGGCATTTAAGTCAGAGGGAGCCCACTTGTTTTGGGGAGATTAGCCACATACAGGGAGATTGAACAAATTATGAAATATATTGAAGACAATTGGGGCAAGGGGGTAAAATATGTAAGGGGGGAAAGCTGGGATAAACCCCATGCTGTTGGACTGGAATTTAAGCTCTAAATGTAAATTTTTTTCTATATATGTATATTTTATTAGTTAGGGTTCCCCAGTGAACCAGGACCAATAGAATAAGTATAGAGAAAGAGATTTATCATGTGGAATTGACTCACGGGTTATGGAGACTGAGTTCCAAAATCTGCTACCTACAAGCTGGAGACTTGGAAAGCTGGTAGTACAATTCCAGTCTGAGTACAAAGACCTGAGAACCAGGAACACCAATGATGTAAGTACCAGTTCCAGGGCAGGAGAAGACCAGTATCCCAGGGAGAGAGAGAGTTCAACCTTCCTCTGCCTTTTCTTTTTATTCAGGCCCTCAACGGGTTGGATCATGCCCACCCACATTGGGAAGGACCATCTGTTTTACTCAGTCCACCAATTCAAATACTACTCTCTTCCAGAAACACACTCACAGAAACACTCGGAAATAATGTTAACCAGAAATAATGTTTAACCAGTCAAGCTGACACATAAAATCAACCATCACACAGCTAGAGGAATAAACATGGTTGTTAATGTGTGTTTGTGTGTATAAACATGTGCCTACTGAGTGGGCCTGGGAGCAGAGATTACCCTAATTGCAACAAGCACACCTAACAACCAGATCTTGGTTTTTAAATACTATTTGCCACCAAACACACACACACACACACACACACACACACACACACACACACACACACACACACACAACCAGGTATTCTTGCAGAAATGGCTAATTCTAGGGCTGGGGAAGGGGAAAAAGATCAGCCTGGGCGATCTTGTTGAGCCAGAAAGAAAGGCAGTGTTCAAAGGACGATGGCACGTATCAAAATGACAAGCAGTCAGTAAGGGGCGCCCATTGACCAAACCTAAACCTTTGGACAATTTGCCAATAAATAAATGTAGAAGAAATGGTGAAATTAGAAAATAATTTGTGATGGATGAACATCAATGGGTGCTGAAACCTATGAATGAAAGTGGGATGAAGAAAAGAAACTTTCTACATCTCAAAGTACCTCCCTTCCCCAACACTTAACAATCACAATCAAGTAATCAGCATTACCACAACCAGACATGGTTCTGAATATATCAGATACAAGAACACAACATCATTTCTGTGATATTTCTTCATGAAATGTGTAACAGTGATCTAATCATGAGAAAGGATTGGACAAACCCAGGGCGAAGGATGGTTTAAAATAACTTCTCTGTAATCTTCAAATATGTCAAGGCCATGAAACTCAAAGAAAGGCTGCAAATTGTTCTAGATAGAGGGAGACTAGAGAGATGTGACAACTGGGTACAATGCTTGATACCATATTAGTTGTTTGTTTTTTTTTACCCTAAAAGGATATTTTTTTGGACATCGAAGAGCAGTTTGAAATTGTTTCCAAATAAAAAGTTAAAAATTTTAAAAATGCATGGCAAGAGTGTTAGCTCTTCCCCTGGCTGACTCTTGCTGGCCTGCAGGATTCATGTTGGACAAGCTTCTGTGGAACCCCTTTGACTAATTGGGGATGAGGGGCCTTTGTGCTCCCACTGTCCCTGGACCCCGACACCCTTTTCTGATTACATCTGTGCTTCACCTTTGCTAGTCCAGTCCAGGGGTCCTGTCTGGATCATGGAACAGAGTAGCCTCTTGAAATATACTGAATCTCAACAAAAGGGGTGTTGCATTAGGGAGTACAGCTCAACCTCACCTCTTCACCTGGGGTTCAACCAAAGAAATGGTCAAGTCTGGGTGTTGGAGGTACACCTGACTGAGTAAGACCTATGGATAACCAGGAGTCATGTCTGCAGGGGATTTCCTGGTGGGGGGGTCTTGGAGGAACTATTTTTCTTTTTATTAAATTTATTGGGGTGACATTGGTTAACAAAATCGTACAGGTTTTAGGTGTACAATTCCACAACAGATCTGTACACTGTATTGTGTTCACCACCCCAAGTCAAGCCTTCATCCATCATCATTTATCTCCGCTATACCCTCCGCCACCTCCCCTACTCCCCCTTAGGGCTCAGTTGAGGACCTAATCCTCAAGCTGTAATCTTGCTGAAGAGGCCTCTCAATGGGGAAAATTCCTTTACACCTTTGATGTCACTGATGTGCTCAGTAATCACATTGAGGGAGGAGTGGAACACCAAGACCCCCTCCAGAGCACAGCAGACCTACCCACGCTCAAGGATCAGAATGGTGGAAATACTGGAGGAATAAAGAGCAATATTGCTAGGGAGGAAGGACATTCGAGATGTTAGGAGAAACACGTCAGGAATGGTTAAACGTTTCCCTTCTTTTCTGCTAAGGTGAGATTATAGTTATATGTGTGGAAATGCCACTCAAGGTACCAAGATGCCAATCCTTCAAGTTGGGGGGCTGGGGCACTGGTCTCTCAGCATTGGAGCAGCCATGGCTCTCTCCTTTCTCATTTCCTAATGTGGGTAGAGCACCCCCTTAGGGTAAAGAACACAAGTGAGGCTCTAGGCCTGGCTGGAGGGTTCCAGGATCTAGGAGGGGAATCAGGGACCTGCCCTGCCTCCCTGGGGCAGGGCTTAACAGGGAGTGCCCTGCCATGAAGGGAGGGCAAAGGGCCATGTCCTCCAACAGCCCCACCCAGCTGACAAGAGTTTCTGTCACCAGGCCACCCATTCTGTCTGGGGCCCTTGAGGGGTAAGTATCCTCCTCAACCCACCTTCTCTCTTTCCAGGGGGTCAGGTGAGAACTCCTTTCCTCCTTGGGGATCCAAACACCGTGTCCTCTCTGCTTACCCTTAGGCCAGGCATGGGCTACACTTGCTGCCTCCTCACGGTGGCATAAGTCCCCCTGCTCTACTTTCACAAGTCCATGAGACTGGGGCACTGAGGGGCAGGTATGGAGTGTTTCAGACCCCTCCCCTCCTGGTATCAGCATCAGGACCAAGGCCAGGGTGGAAGGGCCCAGAGTGGGGCACCTCATCCAGGCAAGCCCAAGATCACTGTTCCCTCCTCTACTGCCCTACAACAGAGCCCAGAATCCTAAGCGGCTGGAGCACTGGGGGACACCCAGACAGAGCCCTCGCTGGACCAAGTCCTCCAGGAGCGGGATGAAGCCATTGCCAAGTGAGAGGCAGCTGCTTGTGGGGGTGGGTTGCAGGGACAGTGGTGGCTCACCCTCAGGACTCTATTCTGCTGGAAGAGGGGAGGGGGAAGTCAAGCATTCTTGGAAGACACACAAACAGCCACCCTGTCACAAGGCATGGGCTGTGGCCATATTTGCCAACCCCCAGGGCCCAGCATCAGATCCGTAAGTCCTAGGCCTCAGGCTGTTCTCCCTGCCACCTGCAGGAAGCAGGCAGTGGAGGCTGAGCTGGACACATGCAAAGCCAAGTTACGAGCTGCGGAGGCCCAGCTGTTGGAGGTCCTGGAGGAGAAACTGAGACTGAGGCAGGAGGTGGAGGCCTGGGAGGTAGGGTGGCAATGCCAGCTGGGCCTGGGATGCACAGGGAGACAGGCCCAGGGTCTTCCCCTGAACCTGTTCTCCTGCCCACAGGAGGACATGCAGTGGCTGGTGAGACAGCGGGTCGAGAGTCAGCTGCAGAGAGAGTCCAGCGGCACTTTGAGAGCCCCCATGCAACCTGGAACAGCTAGGGCCCCAAGGGTCCAACTTCCCCCACGTTGGTGGGGGCGTTGGTGGTGAGACAGTTCAACCCAGAACCTTGAGAGCAGTATCTTTATTCATTAAAACTTGAGGTCCGACCACCTTTGCACCTTGTGCCCTCTTAGTGTCACCTGAGTCCTTCTCTGTGAAAACAGGGAACAGGCTGCAGGACCTTAACACCTGGGGTTTCAAACACGATCCCTCTGGCCAGCACCTCTTAGGTCAGGAAGCCTCGGATGGCAGCCATGAAGTCCTGTGGGCGGTCGGCATGGATCCAGTGGCCAGCATTAGGCACGGTCTGCATCTGGGCCCGAGGGAAGAGTCGCCTAATCTCAGGATGGTGGCTGGGACTGTCCATCAAAGAGAAGGCCGCCAAGAAGGGGTGAAAGTGGGGAGATGGGAAGAGAAACAAAAGTGAAGACAGACCAGAAGAGATGGAGAGCCAAGTGCCCCGTGGTGTTTCCAAGCTCTCAGGAGCTCACTGCCCACACCCAGGCCCTCCCAAGGCAGGCTTCCCAGACTGGGGACTAGGTAAATAAGGCATGATCTGTCTACCACACAGCCTGGCTTACTGCACAAATTCAGAGTTTCCACCAAGGAGGAAGAGGGTTGGCCCAGGGTAGGATTCTTGTTGTGGTGGGAAGGCCAAGAGCTTGTCCACGTGCTGGGCCAAGGCATCCAAGTTCACCCTCCACACGAAGCGCCCGTCTGCCTCCACCAGGTTGGTGAGCAGGAACTGCCGGACGGCCATGTCCTATGGGGGGCACAGTTTGCGGGTGCTCCCTGTGAGTCCTGGGTTGCCACTCTTCCCTTGACAGGTCCCAACCCACACTATCCCAGGGTTTGAGGGTATCACCTGGATTAAAGAGCTGAGTTGTTTATCAGCCAGTTTGCGGGCACAAGAGCGAGAGACCTCATCTGGGATATCTATGGCCCTCATGGCTGCCATGTAGGCTGGAAAGTTCAAGCTGGATGTGGTCTCCACTGGGCTGATGTCCACGGCAACTAGACGTTCCACCAGCTCTGGCTGTGGGAGAGAACTGGACTGGGGACCAGCCTTAGGGCATGCACAGTGGGTCACAGGCATAATTCTGTGATCCTGAACTTAGCTACCCCAGGCTTCTTTGAGTCCCAGGTTGCCTACTGGGCACTCAGGATCTATAGTGGGTGGGAGGGAGCCCTGGCACTCACCCTCTGTAGTGCCAGCAGCATGGCTGTCTTGCCTCCCATGCTGTGGCCAATGAGAACACAGGGCACTAGGCCCAGCTTGGGCAAGAGGTCCTGCAGGTCTTGGCTCATGGCCTCATAGCTCATGTCTGGGCTGTGGGGGCTGTCACCATGGTTCCGAGCATCCACTGTCAGCACCTGGGGGAATGGGATGAGAGAGGGGCAGCACTGGCATCCATATTTGGGGCATGGACAGCCAAAGGCATGGAAGACCTGCAGGTTGAGGGGGTGGAGAACCTGGAGAGAAATCCTGAAGCAAAAGAAGGACCCAGATGGTGGGAGGGCCCAGTTCCCAGACCTAGGAGGCCCAGATGGGGAATCTGGGATCGCTGACGCAGAAGAGAAGGCAGGAGGAGCATGACATCTCTGAAGGTATGGCCTGGCTGGGTGGCAACCCCAGAGAAAGCAGACACCAAGAATTTCCAACAGTTGAAGCACGGAAGGATGTATTGCTATAAGGAGTGATAAGTCCCCTGTCATCCCTGGTGAACAAGCAGGGGGTTGGCCCCCTTAGTGGGGAGGATGTTGGCGTTTAGACATTGGGCAGTGGAGCCTAGCTCAGTTTGAAGCATGCAGATGGAGACGGACTGGATGGATGGAAGCACGAGGTAATGAAGGGGTCCATCTAGGGCCCCGGCCTGCCCTGCAGGCTCCATCTTTAGAAGGTCAATCTCTCCTTTCATTTTCACTGAGACCTGCCACTGCTCAGCCTGCGTTCCGCCGTGAGGGCAAAGGAGCCGGCCCCGCCTCGGCCTCATCCTGGCTCCCGCCCACCAAGCCCCGCCTTCCGCAGGACGGAAGCTCACCCTCCGGCCAGTCTGCTGAGCCAGGGCTTTGGCAATAGAGTTGAAGTTGGTTTTGCAGCCGAAGAGCCCGTGCAGAAAGACGAGGGCCGGGCGGGCCGCCTCCCCATCCAGAAGCTTGTAGGAAAGCGGAACGGGTCTGGAAGAAGGGGCAAGGATGGGGGGCGACTGAGCCGGATGGGGAAGAGGTTTGGGGGAGCGGCCTGGGAGAAGGCGGGCCCAAGAAGGGGAGGTGGGGCCGTCGGGGCTGCACCGGAGGAGGCTGGTTAAAGGACGATCTCTCACCGGGTGCCCTTCACTGACCTCGGCTCGGCGCCGCTTTGGCCACTGCTGCTGGGTGTGATAGGCAACCTGGAGAAGTAGGTCCTGGAGGGCTCGAGCCCCCCATACGGGAGCCTCCAGGCGCGGACCCCGCGGAGCATGCCTGGAACCGCTCCCCCGCAGGCACCTCGCTAGCCGGTCCTGGGCCCCAGCTCCGCCTCCCGCTTTTGCTGAGCCCCGCCCAGTTCCCATTTGAGCTCGGGCCACGCCCCTCCTGCTATCGCGGAATTTCCCGCCCTCGCTCACATTTCCTTACGTAATCCCAGACAACAGTCCCCGCCCCCCGCCAGCTCCGCCCCCAGCCCGGAGCACTGGCCCTGGCCACACCCTGGGTGGAGCCTTGAAGGATCTGGCACCCACCCCCCCCGGGGCGAAACTCCGCGCAGCCCCGCGCTGAATCCGCGCGCGGAGTCTTGCTCTGCAGCCTCGGAATCCCGTCCCAGCTGCTGTGGATGTCCTGGGTTTTAATGCGGGCTCTGGGCAGCCGCGGGGCAGGCTCTTGGCAAGCCTAGGAGGCACCTGCGCCTGGCGCCGCACCAGGTCCGCGTCTCCGCCCTCGCGCACCGCCTTGGGTGCCGTACTTTCTGTGCCGCGGGGGGGCGCTGGAGAGGCACCTGGAGTGGCTCTCACAGTCGGGGCGCCTGCTTGGAGGCTCAGGGCTCCACAGCCCGGCGACTCAGGCAGCACAGACAAGTACTTCTTACCCATCCTGAAGTCGAGGGCTAGAGAAAGAGCTAGGAAGGACTCTAAAGGTTATCTTCAACTATCCGCCACCCCCGTTCTTTACAGATGGGGAAACAGGCAAACCGGAACGTCTGGTCTGCCTTTCATAATGCGAGTCAAAGGGGGAGGCCGCGGCCCTAGCCTGTTTGACTCCGTGGTTAGAGCGTGGGCCCTCGGCCTGAAGGGTCCCGGGGTTCATTCCCGTCAAGGGCACGTACCTCGTTGCAGGCTCAATCCCGCCCCTGTGGGCGTGGGAGCAGGAGCTGGAGGCACCACATGGATGTTTCCCTCTGTTTCTCAGAAAAGCAATGTGTGTGGGGGGGGATAACAAAAAACCCAAACTCCCTCCGTCCCCCTTTACCAGTAAAGAAATAAATAATCCCTCCCCCCCCTTTCTATAGTATTCTGCTCAGAAACCTTCGGGGACTCCCCATCCCTAAACTTGAAAGTTGAAACTTCATCACTACATCATAAGCCTCCCAAGTATGATCCTACCTATATTTCCACCCATGCTCCCCATTCTCTTACTCCCCAATGAGGCACCCTGAGAACTACACTGCATACCTCCCTTTAGGTCTTTACCCAGTTGCCAGAGTCTAGGATAACTGCCAACTCCTCCTCAAGCCTTCCCAGACTTCCCTGGTTGAAACTAATCTCTTCCACCCTATGTACTTAAAGCATATGAGTCTACTATACAGTATTATAGAGCTGGCCTCTGTGTCCGCCAGAGGCTGCCGGCTCCTGGATGCCAGAGCCATGTTTTGCACATCTGGTGCTAAGTGCAATTGTAATTTTACTGAACGATCTTGGAGAGACTCAGAGCAGTAGCTGAGGCTTAGGTGAAGGTTCAGCTGGTGGCTGGATCTGTGCCCCCTCCAAGAGATGACACTTGGGCTAGCAAGGCTTACAGGGACCTTTCTTTCCGTCTTTAGGGTAAGCTGGGTGGAGTTAGGACCAGTAGGAGGCGTTCTAACTCTAAGGCCTAATAAATAAATGGCTCCCACCTTGACTCAGCCTGAGGACTAGCAGGTGTTTTGTTCTAATCTGAGGGCTTTGAAGTCACCGGGGACTCTACACACACCAGGTGGTGCTATCACTTGTTACCAGCATAATCATTAGAGGAGTGATAAGGACATCTGAGCCCTGGATGGGGGCTGGTCCAAGGCCTGGGAGGGGTCCTCCAAGAGTGGATCAAGCAGTGTTTTTCTAGTTGGTGGAAGAAGAGGAAGGGGGTTCATGTAATGTTGGTGATTCAGAAAGGTAGTATTTTAAATGCCCCCACCCCCATGCCAGCCTGTCTAGCCCAATAAACTGAGCCTGGCCCAGGACCCTTGGCATCGGACCCCAGCTAGAACTCTGGGTCTAAGGGCAGAAACAACCTAGAGACACCCC